CACCCTTGATAGAGTGCCATGGCGTCTCAGCTCACAGCAACCTCAAACACTTCGGTTCAAGCGATCCTCTTGCCTCAGCTTCTCAAGTAGTTGGGACTACAGGTGCCTGCCACAACACCTGGCTATTTTTTGTTGTAGTAGTCATTGTTGTTGTTTAGCAGGCCCGGGCCTGGTTCGAACCCACCAGCCCCAGTGTATGTGTTGGTGCCCTAACCATTGAGCTATGGGCACTGAGCCTTCGAACTCTAGAGCTTGGCCTCCCAGAGTGCTAGGATCATAGGCATGAGCCACCACTCTGGGACCACAATTCCATTTTCATACCCTCAAAATCACAATCATTTCTTAATGTAATGTAATCACATACTCAATTTCCCCCAATTTCTCAAAAATATCTTTTTGGCTTGCATCTATAATCTTTGCTATTTGGGAGACTGAGGCAAGAAGATCACTTGAGGCTAAGAGTTCTAGACCAGTCTGGGCAATATAGCAAGTCTCCATCTCTAAAACAAAGAAACAAAAAAAAAAAAATTGGTTAAGTGTGGTCAATAGCTGCCCCAGCTATTCAGGAGACCAGGGTGAAAGGATCACTTGAGCCTAGGGGTTATTGAGACTGTAGTACCACTTGTACTTCAGCCTGGGTGACAGAGTGAGACCTCAGCTCTAAATAAATAAATTTTTGAAGATCAATTTTAAAATAAAGTAGAGAAGGAGAGAGACCTAAGACACACTTCCATATCTGAATCAATAGGATTTCTCGATCTCCTCCCCTTCCTTAAAAAGTAATCCCTTCCTAGACTCTGTTCTGGTACTACCTTTAGATTAAGTATTATAGCCTTATCACGTGGGCTACTGGGTAGGCTCCTGGCTAGCAACTGCTTCCCTTAGTGGGTAAGAGTGCTGGCTTAGGAGTCAGGTAGCCTGGCTCCAAATCCTTTCTCTGCAGCTGATTAGTGAGTTGTGTGGTTTTGCCTGAGTCACTTAATCTGTTGAGCCTTGATCTCTGTAATCTGCTGAGTGCTGAAAATAATACCGTGTTTCCCCCCAAATAAGTCACTGTCTTATATTTATTTTTTCTCAAGAAGATACACTAGGGCTTATTTTCAGGTGCCGAAATGCATGGCGTGGCTATGCAGATACACTGCTTAGCCATGCCCATCACTAGGTTTTATTATGGGGTAGGGCTTATATTTAACAAATGCATAGAAATCCTCCTAGGGCTTATTTTTTGGGTAGGTCTTATTTTCAGGGAAACAGGGTGCAGTGGCTCACGCCTGTAATCCTA